GGGGGGGGGGGGGGGTTTCGCCTATTCTGGTTCTAGATGTACAGACCTACACATGTCTGGCTCTTGGTTTGGTCAGGTGACACATGCTTTTTGGTTTTTGTCAGATAATTAACTTAAATGGTGAACGAGCTTCAATATTTTATAATTACAAGCAAATAAATCAGCTCAAGTTTGAACTCGATTTAAGCTCAATTATATTATTTTATTTGAAAAACTAGTACTCCCTCTGTTTCAATTTATGTGAACTATTTCCTTTTTAGTCCGTACCAAAAAGAATGATCCATTTCCATATTTGGAAACAATTTACCTTTATGCAACAATTTATAGCCACACAAAATATATGTTTCTTCATTTTACATCACAAGTTCAAAAGTCTTCTCTTTTTTCTTAAACTCCGTGCCCAATCAAATTGGTTCACATAAATTGAAACGGAGGGAGTATAAAAAAACTAAATTGTGGCTTAGAGTCTTTTTGCACTAGTTCTTACAAAGATCATTATTGATTATCAAAGATACACAAAGATCATATACTTAGATACTTTCATATTTGTGTGTTTGAGGATAAATGTTTATAAGTAGTTTACTATACAGCTGGAAACTCGGCTCTACTATCCAAAATTGAGCTGAGCTAGAGCTTACTCAACGACAGAGTCAATTACAACATCAAATTTGAACGATTAAAAATATTAAACCAGATTGGCTATTTCTCTTCTTTCTGAGCTTCGTGACTTTCTTGTCCGGCCAATTAATTAAAAAATGATAAGCTTAGGAGGTCCAGGGATTTCCAACCTTCTAGTAAAGGCCTTGATTGAGAAGGACTAGAATGTAATGTTTGCCTGAATGCTTACAGATGTTTATATCATCAGTGGTGGCATGGTGTATCAAATTTTGGAAGTTCTGTGGTACGAGAACTTTCAGTGCTACAATCTAATGGTTGCGTGAATGCTTGTGCTTGCAGATCATTAAACATTTTTAGTTTCTAATTTTTGTATTAATTGGATAGATATTCACTTAGTATACTGATGATAAGCTTTAATTTGTATTTTACTTTCATGAATTATAAGTTGCACTATTCTGCATGACATTCTTCTATTATTTGTCTTATCAGTAGCGCAGCAGTCTGAAAGTTCTAAACCAGACCGAGGAAGAAATGATGAGCAAGAGCATGTAACTGTTGCACGTGCACTACAAAGGTATATTTTGAAGGCAAGGCTGGCTAGAATACCATTCCCAATTAAATTTCCAACACCTAATCCAAGATCAAGTATACAACAGGCTCCATCTACAACGTCAAAACTCCTTCCCCTAATATGTCCAAGAACTGCTCTTCGCAGTAGGCCAGTCAGTCCATTATGTCTAAAACCTGCTACTCCAAGTAGACCCTTTGATACTACAGAAAGCGACACATCATTGAGCCCAAGGACTGCTCAAGCCATAAGTGCCATTTTAAGTGACAGCTTTTCGGTAGATAGTAGCCACAAGGTTCGAGCGGAGAAGTTCCCTGCTGCTAGTGCAGCCCCATATATTCCTGTCAGGCATTTTGGCCCACACCATCGAATGGCTCCTCCAGTGACCATACGGAATGCAATTCCTGTTTACTCTGCACCACCGCTTCCTCCACCATCTAGGTCTCCAAGTGTTACAAGGACTCCGGGTCTGGGAGTTGCACCACCTGTCTGTGTAAGACAGGCAATGCCGGTTTATGCTGCACCCCCTGTTCGGGCAGAAAAGCTCCTCACATTAGATACAGCACTTCAAGTAGTGGAGCCCACCTTTTCTAAAGCTCCACCTGTTCAGGTTGAAGAACCAGTAGCTTCAGAGGGACCTGAAATTCAGGTACATGAATTACCAACTTGTAAAGCCGTGCCAGGCAAGCCAGAATTGGCACATGAACATTCTGAAGAGCAACCATGTTCTCAACTCCAACCGACTAAGAGAGAGGAGCCAGCTGACTTAGAAATTTCAAGGAGCGTGACAATGCTCGTGTAAGGAACCAATACTGCAGCTGAGGAGAAGCCACAGGAGTCTCTAGAAATTGAGAATTTGAAACAACTAAAGATATGATGTATTGTCAGGCATGGGATGGTTCGGACTGCAGAACCTTCAATAGGCTTTCGTACTAGGATTTAGTTTGTATGTTCTTATTTAGTCTTTAAAAAAAAGTCTAAATCTGTCAGTGGCTTTCACAATTTTCATTTGGAATAGTTTTATTGAGATAGCTGTAGTTGCCTTTTTACCGCAGTTCCTTTCCAGTTCAATACCAGCAATTCTTTGAATTTACTTGCAGCTAGTTGGATATATAGTTATATTACCAGTCAAAGGGCTTTATCGAATAACAGTTAGTAGCAAAAATGCCAAAAAAGAGACCTCTGTATCGCCTCGTGTATATGCTTGTAGATTCGGTAATCCGTTAAAAATGCAGTATCGTTTCACTTTATTAAAAAGTAAGATGTCGAGTTCTCTTACTATTCCTTTAATAAATCCCTCTTTGCTGGCGATTGTAGAACTGTAACTTATGCAAACACTTTATGACTAAGCGGATCGTTGCTTTAAACAGTAGATTTCATTAGGAACTGTCCTTCGAGCTTCATCCAACTTAAATGTATAGATAAATCGATAAAGGCCTAAAATTACCCTTATGCTATTTGAAATATACCACTTTTGTCCTGCGTTAAATTTTAGTACCAAGAATATTTGTATAAATATGAAATTTGCCAGAGTCCAAAAAACACATAACTCGAGTTTGAGGCCTCCATGCTAGAACTGTCATTGCTCGAGAAGAAAGACAGCAAGATGGAAATACGGACTCAGTTAGGAGTTCGGGCAACACTGATACGTAGGAAAATATAGTGTCCAAATTAAAAGGAGTGTTTTTGCATCTACTAAATAACATGCTTGACTATTCAATACAAAAGGTACCTGTACATACTGTACATGCATCACAAACCTTTACCTGAACAGAACAGCCACAAAACTACAAACTTGTCTGGCGGATTAACATGACGAGACCTAGATTTTGTCGACAATTGATGTAGTAACTGAAGCTATATGTGCACATGAAACTTGACAATCGACCGTGACTACACTCTACACTTCAAGAAGAGAAGCCAGCTTCCATTGCACGATATATTGAAGCAGTGTCAAACCGGAAGTTTCTGAAGCTTTTGCCAGGACCTGTGCCTGGGGGATGTGCATCAGCTGCAGGCTTGTTCAATTGAATCTCAGTTAAAGCTGAGCTGCTGCTCCCAGTGGAACTATTCTTTGCGTTCCATACACTTTTTCCTACATAAAAGAACTAAACCTTATCAGCAAATTGTATAAAAATTAATATGCTGTGTCCTAAACACAAGATATTAAACGAAAGTTAGCATTAAAACTCCCACTGGACTAAAGTAATGCATAAGCTTAGGCTTTTGATAAAATGCTGACTGAGCATTTCTTTCTATAGCTAGTTGAATGTGCTGGAGGTAACTACTATCATACTTCCCAACTTTTTTCTTTAAGCAACTGAGAGGGTGACATTTTCTTAATCAGATTAGATTTGGTGAGCTCAATTTAGACCTTATACAATCACATTCTGCTCTTTGATGTAAGTCATTGACTATTCATAGTTATTACTCCCTCTGTTTTAGTTTATATGGCGTTGTTTGATTGGGCACAAAATGTAAGAGAGAAATGAAGACTTTAAAACTTGTGGTCTTTTTATTTCATTTGAGAAAGACTTTGAAACTTGTGGTCTTTTTATTTCTTTTGAGAAAGACTTTGAAATTTGTAGTCTTTTTTTTTTTTTTGAGAAAGACTTTGAAACTTGTGATATTTCTGCGGCTATAAGACTTTTAAAACTACTAGTCTTAACTCTTAAACATGCCATAACATTTGTGTGGTTATCATTAAGGGTAAAATGGAAAGGTCAAGTTAAAGTATTTCTTCTAAATTTAGAAAGGCTATCACTCTTTTTTAAAGAGAGTAATAAGGAAATAGTTCCAATCTTTTTTAAGTAGAGGGAGTACCTTTTAGACCAAAGAAGAGTAGATGAACTAGAGGGGAAAGTTGGAAGGAGAACATTCTAACATTCTGATTTGTCTTGGTGAGAGGGCTTCAAGTAAGGTTAGAAGTATCATTAAACGACAGTCGACAGCTGGTGTATCTTCCTTGTACTTAGTACATCTCAGGTTTAACGACATGGTGTATCTTCCCTGTACTTATTAAATCTCAGGGGTCCCTAATGAAGTCATATTAAATAAAGTATACCTAGGATCTTACAAAACACCTCACGTAAAGAAAGAGAGAGGAGAGGGACCATTATCCACTACCATAACAAACAGAATCATACAAACTAGTCGTACCTCATGAGATATCCTTTACCAATTAAAAAGAAGGTGAAGAGGCGCTGCGGAGAAGAAAATTGGATCCATTATGCAAAGTAGTCATTGGTTTCATGATTGTTCAGATCAACCAACCAACAAAAAAGTAAAATGAACAATTCCCCCTAACCCCTCCCCCCTTCCTTCAAGGGTGGAAGAGATTCAGATAGATGCATTTAACCCGAGAGAAAGGTTTTTTTAATTAACAATATAGGGGTACGGAGTAGGGACTTGAGTTGTTTGGGAGGGGAGGGGGGTGGGGGTGTTGAGGTGGTTTAAATGGTGGGAGAAAGGGAATTAAATAAGGAAAATTACCAGTTATGTCAGCTCATAAGTGAGTTAGTACAAAAATTAGCCAATGCATAAAATATTACCCATAGTAGGCACTTAGCTATTTGTAGCGGGAAAAAAAGCCAATCTTTTGCTTTCTTTTGAGTGGGTATTGTTGGAATAGATTGAATACATCTTAAGGAATTTAAATCCCGGTTTTGGGATGATTTCGTAGAGTTTTGAGTTGGTTTGAATTGAAAACTCGAAGTAGAAGATGAACATGAAAAAAAAAATGATGTTCATCACACTCTGTATCATTGTGTATCACATATGTATCATATTTGTATGAAATGTGTTTCACATATATATTATCCATGTATACCTGTGTGTAAGATATATGCGGCATACTTGTTTGATACATGTGTCGAAGAAAATTTTTTGAACTAGACTTTAACTATGAATTTTGATACCAAATCAGTCCAAATCACCTCCAATACAACAACAACAACAACAACATACCCAGTAATATCCCACACCGTGGGGTCTGGGAGGGGTAGTGTGTAAGCAGACCTTACCCCTACCTTGTGTAGGATAGAGATGTTTCCAATACAACCTCGGCTCAGGAAAGCACAAGCACCACATTAATGAAAATATAGACAAGAAGGGACAGCACCAAAAAGCCATAAAAAGCACAATAAAAACAACAAGATAGTAAGGTAATCAACAACAACTACCCAGTAAAATCCCACATAGTGGGGTCTGGGGAGGGTAATGTGTACGCAGACCTTACCCTTGCTCCGATAGGGGCCGAGAGGCTGTTTCTGATAGACCCTCGGCTCAATAGTAAGGTAATCAACAACAACTACCCAGTAAAATCCCACATAGTGGGGTCTGGGGAGGGTAATGTGTACGCAGACCTTACCCTTGCTCCGATAGGGGCCGAGAGGCTGTTTCTGATAGACCCTCGGCTCAATAGTAAGGTAATCAACAATAAAAGAAAACAACGGTTAGTCATACAAACCTACTACCAACAGAAAGCGAGACTGCGTGCCAATACTGCTGTTATGAACACTCTAGACTACCTACTCTACTACCCTAATCCTCGACCACCATACCTTCCTATCAAGGGTCATGTCCTCGGTCAGGTGAAGCTGCACCATATCTTGCCTAATCACCTCTCCCCACCTCTTCTTTGGCCTACCTCTACCTCTCCGTAGGCCCTCCAATGTCAACCTCTCACACCTCCTCACAGGGGCGTTTGTGCTCCTCTTCACATGACCAAACCACCTAAGCCGCGCTTCCCGCATCTTGTACTCAATAGGGGCCACACCCACCTTGTCGCGAATAACCTCATTTCTGATCCTATCTACCCTGGTGTGCTCGCACATCCATCTCAACATCCTCATCTCTTCTACCTTCATCTTCTGGACATGAGCGATCTTGACTGGCCAACACTCAGCCCCAAACAACATCATCAGTCTGACCACCACTCTGTAGAACTTACCTTTAAGTTTTTGTGGCATCTTCTTGTCACACAAAACACAGGAAGCGAGTCTCCATTTCATCCATCCCACCCCAATACGATATGTAACATCTTCATCAATCGCCCCAACCCCCTTAAATAATAGACCCAAGGTACTTAAAACTGCCTCTCCTAAGGATGACCTGTGAGTCCAGCCCCACCTCCCCTTACCCTCCTTAAGTCTCGCCACTAAACTTATACTCCAAGTATTCTGTCTTGGTCCTGCTCAACTTGAAATCTTTTGACTCCAGGGTCTGCCTCCATATCTCTAACTGCGCGTTCACACCGTCTCGCGTCTCGTCAATCAATACAATATCATCTGCAAATACCATGCACCACACCACCTCCCCCTGGATGTGGCGCGTCAGTACGTTCATCGCCAGGGCAAACAAAAAAAAGGTTGAGTGCCAACCCCTGATACAACCCCCATCATAACTGGAAAATGGTCTGAGTCCCCACCCACCATCCTCACTCGGGTCTTTGCTCCATCATACATGTCCTTAATCACCCCAACGTAGGCAACATGTACACCTCTAGCCTCCAAACATCTCCACAAAACCTCCCTCGAAACTTTATCGTACGCCTTTTCTAAGTCGATGAACACCATATGCAAGTCCTTCTTCCTCTCCGTATACTGCTCCATCAATCTCCTAACAAGGTGGATAGCTTCTGTAGTCGAACGCCCCTGGCATGAGCCTGAACTAGTTTTCGAAAATACACATTCCTCCTCACCCTTAGCTCTNTCTTCTGTAGTCGAAGTGTCGAACACCCCGGCAACCCCGAACTGGTTCACATGGCAACAACTTCATCAGTTACGACAAGGCTCCCCCTTAGAGATCCACCTTATCCTATTTATATGCTCCAAACTATTTATAATCTTTGAAATGCGTACTTGGATCATCATCTTAGTTACCTTACTGTCTCAAAGTTTGATGCAAAAGGTAAAGTTTCCACTTTATCTTGATGTTAGATATACAAGTAATCTGCAGTAAAATATGACTATTCAACTCAAATGGGAGAAATATAAAATTGGCCGGCATTCTAACCCAACCAACTTGATGTAAATTGATACTTCATTAAGCTAGTTTCCCGGAGGAGAGATAAGTA